TAATATATATATATAACGTTTTATATTTTGTTTATTATGTTTTGACAATAATTGCACTAACATAGTTGCTACGGTAGACTGACTTACGAAATCTCCATGGCGGGAAAAATTTGACAATAAATGGCGTAAATTGCTTTGAATTTTTGTAAATATTTTGCAGTTTTACGGCGTACTTTGATACTTTGACGTACGCACAGAGAAATTAAAAGCTTATTACGTCTTTGAAATAATATGGAATTCTCAAAATGCTTGTCCTGTGAAATTTCAATATAAATTCTTAGAAATTCTATACAATAACAAAATCCAATAATAATGCACAGATAGCAATTTTTCTTGGAAAAGCGAACGAAACTTAATTTACGGTTGTAACAACATTGCGATTTTATTTTTAAATCTTGAAATTTGCATTTAAAAACTCAAACAAAATTTCAATTTAATAGAAATAATTTATTTATGATGAATTTATGAAATTTATGCGAAATAAATAAGATTAAAAAAACCTCTGAACTGCAAGTTTTGTCAGTAAGTCAAAACCAAAGTAAAAGTCAAGTACGTGATGTTATTATTTATAACTGCTGATACTACTGTATTACTGATACTACTCAATTTTAATATAATTCCTATATAATTTTGATAAATTTAATATCAAGTATTTCACTTACTTTGCTGACGTTAAAGGTAAAAGCATTGCCTTTTTCATCTATATCCATGATGCGCAAAGTGTAGTAATCCGGGAAATACTCAGGCTTATTCCAGCTTATATTTACGGAAAACTCATTTTCACCAATAAATATTTGCTCTGCGTCTAAGCCAGTCGGTGCGAGAGGTGCTATTTTATAAAAAATAAAAAAATACATTTATGTAAATTGAAATCTAACATTTTAATAAACAAATAATAATTATAAAAAGGTTTCTTCTACATGCAAATATTTAATTGATAAAACTTTGATGAAACACAGCATCAAAAAGGTTTGCAAATATCATCCTTTGTAAAGGGAAAGATACATTAAATAAAAATCATAACATTGCTCCGAACTTTACTGGCATTTTAATATAACACTTATGTTTAATTATTTTTTAACAAATTTAAAAAAATTAAAATTTTTAATATTTTAACAAATTTAAAAAAATTATATAATAATTTAATGTTTAATTATTTTTTAAGAAATTTAAAAAAATTATACGTTTAATTATTTTTTAACAAATTTAAAAAAATTAAAAGTTTAATTAATGTTAATTATTTTTTAACAAATTTAAAAAAATTATAAAAAAGTTTAATCTTTTTTTAACAAATTTAAAAAAATTAAATGTTTAATTATTTTTTAACAAATTTGAAAAAATTAAATGTTTAATTAATGTTTAATTATTTTTTAACAATTTTAAAAAAATTAAATGTTTAATATGTTTAAAAAAGTTTAATCTTTAATTAATTAAAAAAATTAAATCTTTAATTATTGTTTATTTATTTTTTTATAAATTTAAAAATAAATTTTGCATTTTTCGAAACCACTTTAAAAAAATTAAATTTCAAATTAATTTTAAATTTAAGTTTAATAATAACTTTAATACATGTCAACTTACCACATATATTAAAATCGTAATTATACCATTCAACACATGAGGGTACTACAAAGTTAGACCAGAAAAGTTCACTTTCCCTTGAAATGGTGTTAGGATTTTTGGCACGTATACCCAATGAGTATTCCATAGAGAAATGTAAATTTTCAAGCGTGTATGTATATAATTGACGTGGCTGTATTGGAATAATCAAAACAAATAATTCATTATCAAATAATTAGCTTTTTACATTGCTTTAAAATTATAATTAATTTAAGTTTTAAAGTATTTTCATTTAAAATAATAAAATTAAGAATAAAAATTCTTTAACGTTATACAAAATTAATTAAACTAATTAACAAATTCAGTAATAATTTTAGTAATAAAAATGTTCATACTCTGAGTTGATTCGTATATATTTAGAACTCATATATCAGTATATTATGAACCTATCTCAAACACGACTAAAGGTTGCTAATGTAAATTCTGTAGAGAGTATAACAATATATACTCATATATTTAGCATCAGGAAACTAATTCCATATCCTTAACAACGTTCTCTCAATTCACAAAAAATTTGAAAAAGTGTTGTATTGTTAATTAGTAGCCTCTACTCTATCTAAGTTAAATTTGGAATACTTTTTCAGGGAGAGATGACCTTACAGGTTGTGGTTTTTGTGGTGACTAGATATTAAGAAATAACGTGTACAATGAAATTATTTTTCTAAGTATCTTTAAAGGGCTTGGGTACTTCAGGATGACCTAACAAAGGGACCAAGTAAAACTTTTTTAAACTTTTCATTCACATTATTTTTAAGTTTTCTTTTTTATTCGATTTTATTCTGTGCCTTAATTACCAATGATAATTAAAGCAAATAATACACATAGAAGCCAAAATTTAAATTTAAATACTAAACATGGAAGTATTTATATTTTAAATAGAATACAAATATCCTTGTTTTGTTTTCATTTGAAATATTTCACATTCTTAAGTAAATAAACATACACAAAACATCAAAAGGACTTTGGATTTGTGAAGCAACAGTTTATTTGTACAGCGACATGAAAAGGATACCGTTTTCAATAGCTTTCGAATTTGTAGAACAAATAACGTTTTGGGTCTTGAGTCCCATTTTACCCATTTTACATGTCTACTTATGCAATGAATTGAATTTTCGACTAGTCTGATTTCATTTCCTTTTCATATTGAATATCTGCATATTTTATTTGGTAAAAAATGCTGCCCTTGCTGCTCTACACTTTGCATGTAGTTCACATGTACTTACATATATACTATATATATTAAATAAAATAAAGTTACCAATTTTTTTTTGTTTTTTTTTTTTGCAGCTTTAGGTTTAAGGATATCTCAAAGAAAATTTTCAATGGCGCTATGCGACAATGCGGTATGCGAGCCATCTAAAAATGCATAGAATGTATAAAAATGAATTCTACTGCCTATTTGCTTTTACTATAGCTAAGTAGATATGTTAGAAGGATGCCTACACACATTACCAATCAGCTAAGCATTAAATGGATAGTGTGGGTAACGTACCGCTAAACGCCCACTTAAATATACGCAACTATTGAAAAAATTTCTAAAAAGTAAAGCCTACAAAAATAGTTGAATTATAAGGTATCTAAAAATGTCAACCTAGTTTGTGTAAAACGGAAAATATTTAAATGTCTTTGGCTAAGAAAAAAAATGATAACTCATTTTTTTTTGAAAATCTATGACTTAACTGACTCGTTTTGTTGAAAATCTTAGTTTAAATACTCCTAGTTAACATCATCAAATTGGATTCATCCTACTTTGCTTTCGTCAGAGTGACATCATATTCACCAGCAAAAACCATATTGCTTGAGTATGACTTGTGGAACAACAAACTACTAAAGTTCATACTAATAGTGAAAGAACCCATCTAGTAGTAGTGCCACAAACAATAGTGCCACCTAGCACTAATGCCACCAAGCTTGAAAGATATATTTCTATCACTATTATGCTCGACACTAGGTTAGTTTAGCTGCTACAGTTATTGTACACTTGAAACCTGATAGTACCATCTTTCTTATTTCTTTCTTATTTCAACAAGAATGAAAAATGAAAGTATAGATCTGCCATAGACATTGGTCTATGCCAGATCTATTCATACTAACATTTTATGAAGAAATGCTATTAATGAAAATGAAATTGTATAAATTAAATATATAAAATATATAAATGTAATAATTTATCTCATATTAAATTATAAATTATATATATAATTATATATAAGTGTGTGTTTAAGAAAAAGAAAGTCATATAAATTAACTATGTATATAACTTACATTTCTAATTTCCAAAGGATTCAAATCATTACCTCCGCCTGTTACCGGAAAGCATATAATATCATATGTGCATGTCATATCTATAAATATAAGAAAAATTATGTATTAATAAAATAAATAAATTAAATTAAATTAGTAAATTTAATAATTGTTCTAAGCAAAGTAAAATTTTAAATAATTTCAAAGTAAAAGAATACTTTTATCAGATAAAAAGATATTAATGGACTTAATCGAACAATATGACGGGACTGTCATATGAAGAGGTAGGTACCAGCTTACATTTTTATTTCTATATTTTGTATATAAAATACATTCAAATCAAACAGTTGAGATAAGTCACCCTTCTTGTTAATTAGAGACAATAGATTTAAAAATATGGATATGAAATATGAATATTTTCTTATTGTTGGGTTCAACCCATCATTAACATGGCTTTAAATACCAGAAACAAGGAATAAGGAAAGGGAAAGAAGCTAGTATAAAATTAGTATGAAATAGACTTGTTTAACTGTTTAACTATAATTTAATTTAAATTTAATTTTATATTTAATGAAATTGTTATAATTAATTAATACACATACCGGCAGCTGGTTTCCAAGATATCATAGCTTTCAATTTCAGTTTATCATCTTTATCTGTAAGAAAATTGTTGATCTGTATTTTTGTCACTTTGCTCGGAGTAAATCCATATGTTAAAGTTGAGAATTGTTCTTCCTTGGCTATGACCGAGTACTCATTTGTAGCATGGACTGCTGTTACTGATATGTTATAGCTTGTGTTGTATGAGAGATTAGTCAGCGTAAAAAAACTGTCATCCGACTGCATCATGAATTAGCATTATATAAAAAAATAAAAAAAATTTTTATTATTTAATTTTATAAAAATGTAAATAAAAAAACTAAGTTTAATGTTATACATAAAACAATATAAGAAAAAAAAAAATATACATATATAATGTTTTATGTATAAGCGTGTTTGTTTTTGTCTCTAATACTCACCACATAAACCAAAACATATGCTTTAGTGAATAATTGGACTACAAATAACGTGTCCACAAACGGATTCTGCATCGTGATATTATCTTTAAACTGTTCTGTGGTTTCACTTGAGTTATTCAAATTTGAATTCAGCGTCTGACTTTGATTAATGCGGTAAACATTTCTGTGAGTTTCCAATTCGACACGAAACTTCAGACTTCTATCATCGCGACACACCAATTTTAAATTAAAATTTTCATATATCTTCTTTGTATTTTGCAATTTCGAGGTGCGGTTGAATTTACAAAAGTTATGACAGCCTTCAAGATACTGAAAACGGAAATAAAAGGTTGCTGTAAGTATTTTTGTTTAAAAATAAATAAATAAATTCAGTAGTAAAAATATTTAAAACAGGCAACGTATCTCACTAACTATTTTGATGGAATCAAATAAATAACGTATTCTTATAATACACTATCGACATATAACACTTAAAAAAATTACTTATACTAGGGCCAGTATAACAGAGTGAACGAAAATAACATATAAGGTCAGCATTAAGAAGTATAATTATAGTAATACTTCTTAAACTTAACCTTGAATTTCCTTATATACTATTAAATTTTTCACCATCTTGACTATTTCCAAAGTTCATAAGCTTTTCGAAATATTTATATACCATAAAGTATAACAAAATTATATATCCACAAGAAACTATGATTATTATTGTCAAATACAAAACTTGCATAATATATTTTTTTTTCAGTAAGTATCAGATATGGAAAAACATAAGTATAGTTAATGGTATTTCTTCGTTAACCAATATCCGAATCAAAAAAATCAAAACAATTATCCCTTGGCCCTACGCAAATATAAATGGAGTTGGATCAGTCAACGCCTCTCTCCAAAGAGATAAAACAAATATCATACAATAGGTATAATATTGGTATCCGCAATATTATGGCTGTCCACGCTCTTTGTAGGACTTAGAACTGAATAACTGAATTGAGTTGTTGACTATTCTTTTCTAGCTCAAAATAGTGCTTAGTATAAACAGATTATGGAGGCTCAGTATCTCACTATAAGTAAGAGTTTATGATGAATTTGTAGCATATAAATACTATAAAGTTTTAAAGTCTGTCGCAGACAAAGTTTTTACAAGATTTTAAGTACAACAATAACAAATTCTTTAACGAAATGATAAAATATATATGTATACGAAATCTGCCTTATGTCTACAACCATGGTCTATGTGTAGAACTTATCTCATATTTCAGAGTTTATTACAGTACTATCGCAACTCTATTGTAATGCAAGCTTATATATTTATAATTAATAATTAAAAATATAATATTGACTACATATGGAACTGGTACAAACTAGTATACCTAGATTCTATATATTAAATATATACCTATATTCTAATACAATATAAATATGAAATTTATATAACTTTGCAAAAGCGATTGAAATATCTAATTTAATCGATTGAAATATCTAATTCAATCGCTCTAATTAATAATAATTAATAATTAATCTATCGATCTAATTAATATATTATAAAAAGCTCCAGATTGATGTAGATTGCATATTAACTATTTATCATGTATATAAACATATATCATAAAAATGTATAGAACTTATCTCATATACAACCTACGCCGATATTAGATTGTATCTTATTTAATCATCATATACCATATTATACTGATTATGATGATATTTCACTGCTTATTATTTAGTTGTCATATATTTATATATTGATTCAGATACCCTGAAACACTATTCAACCTGTTCCAATATTAAATTGTATTTTATTTAATTTATTAAATATACTGAGAAGCTGATTCAACCTGATTCGATATTTGATTGTAAATTTTTTTTAATTATCTTATATTTATAGATTAAATCAAGTACTATCATCTATGCATCACAAAAGGTCATTATTTGAATACGAGTGGGATTTAGATTTAGATTAATCTCTTGAGAATATATTCCAAAAATAATTCTATGTGAAAATCCTGGTATCCCACTGAATAACGTCTATAATTATTTCTACGAGCATATAATAATGACGACCTTTTTACTATCGAAGAGCAATCAGCCCTTGTTTTTTAAATTCAGTTTTCAACTTATTTCTTTTTAAGAACATGTGTTAATTAAAAAATTGCTTTAATTAAAAGCAGTTCCCAAAACAGGCTATGTCAAAGAGCAAAAATAAATTAAATCCAAAGGGTACCATACACTCTCCTACAGTATAAGCCAATTAAAAAATATTCGTGAAATAAGTTTCATTCAATATTGGCTTAAAATCAAATTTTTATAAATTTCATTTTAGATTAAATTAATTAGACTTAAGTTAATTATTTGACTTATTATTATGAAAATTACGTCTTCAGATAGAGTGCGTAAAAAGGGATAAGGGAATATACAAATTTTTTGTACCAAAAACTTTTCTTAATAAAAAATAAATTAAACGCTCTTTACACAACGTTTAAATGTGGTTAAAAGTTAAAAATTGTTTTAAATTTTACTAAATCCACAAATCTAAATGTATCTGAAATCTGTGGCTGTTAAGTATTTTTCCAGCTATTTGAGGCGGCGGTATATGTTGCGTAAACAACAAATTTTAACTTTCTAGCCATGTCTGAAATTATCCGTAACCAAAGATAGATAAAGTTTTTTTCGGGAAGAAGGGGAAAATCAATGAAAAATTTAATCTTTATAAAATTGCTATACAGCCTGCCAATGTAAATGAGTGGTTAGCTACAAGGATATTGACTACAAAACTGCAGGGCAATATTAATGTTTTGTGGATATTCCTTAACTACAGCATATTTAAGTTAATAATTGTCAAGGATGATTTTCTAAATATTCTAAATAAAATTTTTATTTATTTTATTCGTATTTACCACAGGATTCGAATGCAGGAGTGCTTCATATTTTTGCTCTTGCGTATGTTCGAGCAATTTTTGTCGATATGTGCTTAGACACTTAGCGGTGCAAGCAGTTATCATGTATATTTGAGGATCCTCTTGCTCCATCTGATCGACAAACATCATATGAGCATTACTTCCTAATATTAGATAAAAAATAATTGTAAAGTTCCCAATTTGCAGCATCATGATATTGTGTCGGAATCTTAATGTCAATATTCACAATTAATTTGATAGTCCGTATCCACAGAATTGTTTAAAGTCGAAGTAATTTAATTTCTTATCAATTTAATTTTGTTTATACACGTATTTACTATATTGTAATAAATTTTTTTATATAATTTTTATAATACACTGAAACAAATATGCAAACACTTCGATTAATTATTATTTTATTTTTTATGTTGTTGGATTATTTAGACTATGGCATTATTTTTTTTAAATTCGTGAAAAAAAATTTTAATGTATTTTTTTTTGCAAATTTTTGATTAGTTTTAATTAATTTGTTTTTCACTTTGTATATTGTTAATTTTTAATTAATTAGTATTTAAGCTGCCAAATTAATGGTTTTATAAATTTTTTATAATACAATTGCACTTTTGAAAGACTCCGTAAGTATGTTTTTTTTTTAATTTTAAATCAATGACTGTTTATAAAAGAATCACAAATACAATTAACTTTTAGAATAAATTTAATTTAAATATTTAAATTTTATTTTTATACAAATTTTCATTAAACAACCGTACGAACAACAGTTTTCACATTTATTATAATATATTTTTGCCAAGCAAAATTAATATATTCAAATATAAATAATTTAATTATATTTTATTGTATAATATATTTAACGCAACTATTAAGACTACGAATATTTTATCACCGTTTCAACGTTATCACTTCGAATCTTTATATTATACTGAAGACTTATTTTCGATACTGCAATCTATAAACTAATGAAAAACTTTTATAACTGAGTGGTTAAATGGTTAACACAATACCCTATATCATATATTACATTGCCTCAACCTTCCTAGTTCGAAATTACTATTCTAATTTTAGACTTTGCATATATTAACACACCAAGGACACGGTTAATATTGCTCAACAGGTACTATTGGAGAACAATAATAGTTGCGATATATTCTAAAGATTATTTATTACCTGTGCTATATACAAGCTAAATATTTGTCACCAAAATAGAACAAAAAGATTTTATTACCTAATTTTAAGCAATAATTATTAAACTATAACATATGGGAAAAGATAATTAGTAATATTGGTTTGTCCTTAGATTAACAGGTAAGCGAATAAGTTCATATGTGTAGTAATATACAAAATTCTGACCCTTTTCAATTTAGTCCTTTTACCAATTCGTTTTTATTATTCAAAAAATATTCTAGGAATTTAAAATAATTATGATAATACTTTTTCAATGTGAAAAATCTTAAAACTAACGTTATATGACAGGAAGTTTTAATATTAGCAAATATTGGAAATTGATATGTCCTTAACATGTTTTTAGGTTCTGCATATACTACAAAGACTCTTAAGAAATAATATTGAGTTCAGTAAGAAGCATATAGCACTTCTTCAAAACCAAGTTTTTATATATGTATATATTATATATATATAGAATATATATTTATATTAATAGGAATATTTGTATTGATAACCTTTTGCCATTTTTAATCAGAATAACAATTCGTTTTTTAGAAAATATCTTAGTTTTGTTATTTAAAAACTAATATTAGTGCATTTTACAAATTTTTTTTATTTCGTAAAGTTATTTTTTAACTTGATATCTCTATCTGAGAAAAAGAAATAAAGCACTCGTTAGATTCCCAAAAACATGTACTATAAAATTTACTTATAGGCTTAAGTCTATCTGTTATAATACGGGACTAATAGGGCTGTGCGTGGCTTACAAACAGTCAGATTAACCTAACTAAGCATTGTCATAGGTTAGGTGAAATGAAGGGATGAATGAATCTTCCTCAATAAGCTAAGTAAGCTGTTCTGATTCCACAATTCTCCGTAATGGTGGGTAGAGGAGCAATTATGGCAGAAGTTGACAAAAACATTGATATATGCAATTGTCTGAACAATGTTAATGCTGGAAATATTACCGAGTATGTTAAAGAATGTGGCAATCAAGAGTTTAAGCCTGGTTCTGGACAAGCTTCAATATAGACACACCAGGTGTTCTGGTGTCTTTTCTTCAAGCGCCGATAGACATATATTACAGGAGATACTATGAGCTTGGATTTAGTGTTATCGTAATAAGACATAATATCCTTAAACAATTTCGATGTC